TGGTTTCCTATATGAACATTTTTAAGTATGACAACCATTTTAACTTGCTACAAAAGGGAGACACATGAAAAAAGAAAAGGAAAATTTCATATTTGTCCATGTACTTTGCAAAATTAGTCATTCATATAATATTGGTAAGCTGGCAGCGTTTCAACAACAATTAATTTGCTATACGACTATTATAATGCTGTACATAAATATAAAAATCTACTCAAGTTTTCTAAATAGAGTGCTAGAAAAATTGCAGCAAGCCTCATGATTATAGTGTCAAATTTAATTAAAACATCCAGAATGATGAAATCCGCACTTACACCGAACAAATTTGCAGTAGCTCTAAACTGCTCTAATGGCAGAAGTTTCTAGAGCACAAAAATGAAGAAGAAGCAGGTAATGCAAAATGATTCTCACTTCTCTGAAAACACAGAGTATTTATAATGAGCCTAACTAACTAACAATTAACTTATGAGCTGGACGTGATTGGGCACTAAGTGTACAGTGGCATTAACCGACTAACTGACACACTAACTACCATTAACTAATACAGAAACTTGAGTTTTTAATTTTAGACAGAGTTTACCAAGGAATTCTAAATATGTTTCCGAGTCCCAGCGGAACAAAGTATAAGAAAGGAAAAGGAGAACCTTAAAACAGGCAGCCATTTAAGAGCATCACGTTGAGTTCCGGCTAATTTGGTCATGGTTCAGTGATTAAAAAAAAAACTAGCTTGCCCGTATTTTGACCATTTTATCCTACATATGCCAATTTAAACTCTATCTTTTCTATAATTTCAAATTACTTCATTAGCCACTTGACCACATCATTAGTTGCACCGAAGTCAAGAATTTGTATGGGTAACTTTGTTCCTTCTTGGTTATCATGATAATTCTCGCATTCTTAAGTACAATTTTTTTTATAATAAATCAAAATTTCTTTGATTGACCGTATTTAATTTGAGACCTGATTTTTTTAACACTTTATATGATAAAAATTGGTTATTAATAATGAAAAATATGATATTATTTCCCACCTTCTCTATGCTTCATATTTATTTTGTAGTGATTTAATATTTTCCTCTTGTACATTTAAATATAAATTATACGTACATAATAATTGTATACGGTCAAAATCAGCATTGCCCTTTTTGTGCAACTGATCGAGGGTGGAGCATGATAAGTCAAGGATCAGCTTCGATTTATATCAAACTATGGTGCAGGGTTAGGTTGTCAAGCTCGAGACCACGAGACCGATTGAGATCGAGACCGACCAAAACCGAGACCGAATGAGATTGATATCGATCATGATCGGGACCGAATAAGATAGAGATCGAGGGAAGCTTACTGGGTCAAATAGCGGAAAGACGAAATACCGCAATCGGGCGAGGATCACGGCGCAAATCTCGGCACGTATCAAGAAGAGGCCGATTAATTAGCCAATCATAGGATTTCTTACTGTATTTAGAATTGTACCAAGAGTAGGACTCCCCTACTATATAAAGAGGGTCTAACCATTTGTAAAAGACATCATATTCACGTTACTTAAAGCAATATATTCTCTTTCTCTTAAGTTTTCAATATTTCTGTCATTTTGTTCATACTTTCCGGCGAAATATTCACTTGATTCGAAGGCAACCTAGCTCAAGGATCAAAGCTATACATCTCATTTGGTTTGCTTCACTTATATTTGCAGTTAATTTCAATATCAATTTATGTTTGCTCTTAGTTTGTGCTAAGTAAATCACGTGTCCTACGGGGGCAGAAAAGACCCGAGCATCCTCTGGGACCGAGATGATAATTGATCGCTTGCGCCCGAGATCAACACTTGGAGATAGAAACCAAGTAGTCAGTTTAAGGCTCGAGGAAGCCTCGCTCGAGCTCTTCTTTGGTATCTCCAAGTCACCCAGACTGGTGACATCTTCCACTCCGACAAAGTAGCCATGGAAAGGGTCTTCTGCACTATGGACCCCTTCATCATGGAAAGTCTCCACCGCCTGAGAATCCTTAATCATTGACTCAGTGAATGAAAGAAGCGATAGGGGAATCTCCAATTTCTATCGCCCCAGGTAAATCTTTTGGGGCACCGCCTTCATCTCGGGGAGCCTCGAGCATGGTTTCTACACCAGCATCAACCGCCTCCTTGGTAGCCTTCTCACCTCGAGGCGAAATGCCTTCGACTCTTACTGGCTCAGGGACTTTGGCTGAAACTTCCCCCTCAATCTCATCAATTCGAGACAGAGCCGTTTCAGCTCGCACCGGCTCAGTAGTTTCTCGAATCTCGGTGCCAGCTCGCACACGGGAAACTAGCCCGGAGTCTTCTTCTTCTTCCTCAACCTCATCCCTTAGCCGTTGGACTGGCTCCATAGATAAAGGGATGATTTCCCCCTTTGAGTTACATGCTGCTTTCTTTTTGGGTTTCTGCCCCTTGGAGTCCATGGAATTCGAAGCCCTTTTCCTATTTTTCTCCAGTGTCGATATAGATGGTTGGATTTCTTCATCACCAGACGGGAGCCTCATCATCACATCCTTCCCGAGACCTACAAAAGGAAAGAAATGAGTAAGCCCGGGAAAATATTCGAATAATGGTCAAATATTAAGTCAGGAAGAAAGGTTTACCATGACTACTATCCTTCCATCGACCCTTCGCCAAATCGCGCCATGCATGCTTAGCGTGCGTTGACTGCGATATTAGGCTCCTGACCGAGTTCTCGAGTTGGGGAACCGCACCCGGCATCCAAGCAACGACTATATCAAGTACACTGATAAGAAAGGGTGAAAGAATGAAGAAAATAAACAGAAGCTAAGGATGGAATTATACTTACGTTTCATATTCCATTTCTTGGGAAATGGCATACTTTCGACCGGGATCAAGTCTAAGTCTTCACTCAAACAAATCGGCCCATCCAGCCTAGGTTTTTGTCTTCATCTATGCTCGAGAAAGGTGCCCTAGTGGCTCAACGTTGAAGCTTTATTAGTCCTCCTCGATAGAGTCGAGGGCTATATAGGCGTATGAGGTAGTCGAGGGTGAAGAGAAGCCCATTGACTTTGCTTGAGAAGAAACTGAGTAGTATCACTATCCTCCAGAAAGAGGCATAAATTTAACCGAGGGTCACCTCGTATTTCTTGCAAAATCTATGATGATCAGATCAAGGGGACCCAACGTGAAGGGGTAAGTGTAAACACTTAAGAACCCTTCCACATGGGTGGTGATTGCTTCTTCTGGAGCTGGCACCACCACGTATTTTTTTACCGCAATTGCAATCTTTTTAACTTGGAAGAGGAGTTTTCGGTTATCGAGCATATATACCTCGATACCGAGTCGCATCGGCCCGACACCAAGAAGTTTTTTCAACCTTAAAATCAGAATCGGGAATATATCCTCTAGGAAAATCTCTTCAGGGCGTGGCTCCGCTGCCGGCCCCTCACCGGCCGACCGTGACGATGAAACAGTCTCCTTTCGTAGAACGGTTTTTAAAGTCTTAGCCATTTTTGCTTTGGTGAGTAAAGAAGAGTGAAACTTTGGAGGAGTGCTTGGTATTTTGTGATGAAACTCAGGGATATGAGAATACAAAGCTTTGAGGAAGACACAAGATTTTGAAGATTAAAGTGAAAGAAGATTTGAAAATAAAGTTTGAAAAGTTAAGAAGGAGGGTATCTATAATTTCCCAACGACGGTTCAAAGCCGATAATGGCCGACCGTCGACTAACGCGCATTAGTGCCTGGGCAACCGTACCGACAAGACGTTTCATTTATCCCTGTTGCTTACGTCATGATGTATCGAGGCGAAGATCGAGGACTCAAATCGTTTCTTGTCATTACTCTCCAAAAAATGAGGGGACTATCTATATGCGGTCAAAATCGGGCTTTCCCTTTTTGTGCAACTGATCGAGGGTGGAGCATGATAAGTTAAGGATCGGCTTCGATTTATATCAAACTATAGTGCAGGGTTAGATTGTCAAGCTCGAGACCATGAGACCGATTGAGATCGAGACCGACTAAAAGCGAGACCGAATGAGATCGATATCGATCATTATCGGGACCGAATAAGATAGAGATCGAGGGAAGCTTACTAGGTCGAATAGCGTAAAGACGAAATATCCGCAATCGGGCGAGGATCACGGTGCAAGTCTCGACATGTATCAAGAAGAGGCCGATTAATTAGCCAATCATAGGATTTCTTACTGTATTTAGAATTGTACCAAGAGTAGGACTCCCCTACTATATAAAGAGAGTCTAACCATTTGTAAAAGGCATCATAGTCACGTTACTTAAAACAATATATTCTCTTTCTCTTAAGCTTTCAATATTTCTGTCATTTTGTTCATCTTTTCGGCGAAATATTCACTTGATTCGAAGGCAACCTAGCTCAAGGATCAAAGCTATACATCTCATTTGGTTTGCTTTATTTATATTTGCAGTTAATTTCAGTATCAATTTACTTTTTTTCTCAGTTTGTGCTAAGTAAATCACGTGTCCTTAAAACCACAGTATAAATTCAGTTGTTATCCATTTTTTAGGGTAAACAATAATATTAACAGTTATATTTAAATATGATTCTACAATTAATTATTACTTAGTTGCTTTTGAAAATATCTGTGTTACTGTACTATTTTTGGTTACGATATATTATAGTCTGATTCTGATCACATTCTATTCCTGAAGAATTGTGTAATTGGGCATCAAAACAATCAGAGAATCTTGCAACAGGGAGGTAAGATTTCTCTTGATAAAAAGATATTTTTCTGCATGCTTACTATACTAGCTGGAAAGCTTTTAATTGTGTAACTGAATAAATAAATATTATCCAGTGGTGAAGCGTTAGTCTTGTCAAAATTTAGAGGTCTTTTACATTATACTATTGTAATTCACTGCATCCCCGTTTCATTCGCTGTTTTAATTCCTCATATCCCCACAAATCAAGAGGTCTTTAATTAATAACGCACCACTCTTCTATATAAAGTTCATTTTTTTTTTCCTTCCATTTAATTTTTTAACTGCTGGCTTGCTGGAAAGCTGGCACCTTTTGTATATTAACACTAAAAACTTCTTTTTTTTTTTAAATTTTAAAAGGGGCCTCCAGCAACACCATTGCCACCGTGAACCGCCGCCACGTAGTGGCTGAGAAACCTAGTGCAACCGTAAATTAAATCATGGCCAAGCCAAGTTTTGTCCCAGTTGTGTTTGCCTTTCTGTTTCTTTCATCACAGACCTTTTGCAGTGCTCATGATGATAATGAAGTTGGTATAAATTATCTTTCATTAATCCCTTTCTCATATTTACTATTTCACCTTCTTATGTACTCTATTTGGTTTTGTTTTATCAATATACTAGATATTTTATATTCCCTCCGTTTCAATTTAGATAAGGTAGTTTGACTCGGTACAGAATTTAAGGAAAACAAAAGACTTTTAAAAACTTGTGATTTTAAAAGCTTAAAGGGTAAAAGTTTTGTGGGACCATGACATTTGTATGATTATAAATGCTTCTCATTAAGAGTAAATCGAGTACAATGAAGAGTTTAAAGTTAAATTATTTTCAAATTTAGAAATGTGTCATTTATTTTGAAACAAACTACTAAAAAAGAAAGCAACTTATATAATTTGAAACGGAGGGAGTATGTATGTTTATAACGGTGATCGATGTTCAATCGAGTCAATTTGCATTACTAAATTCTGCCACCTTTCGCCCGTACAAGTATTGGTATAGATGGAAAAAAAAAAAACCTATTGTTTTTTGCAATAGAAGTATAGGACTAATGAAGGTTTGTCTCTGAGATTGAATCAAAGTATAGCCAATTAATTTTTCATAGTGCACGACAAATACATAATTTTATACTTTAATAATATGTCCTAACATTTAACTTTGTTGTGGTGGAAATGATCACATGAAAAGCTCGAACATTTTTCTTCTCGTTGATATTCATTTACTAGGTGACATAATTTTTCTTTTCAATAAAAAGGGCTTACTAAGGTGGCTGGATTATGTTAAACAAGAGAAACAAAATAAAAGCGTTTTTCTCTCTCTTCATTCTGCAATGATATTTATTTCTTCTTCTTCTTCTCTAATTCTTATATGTATATGATATTTTTTTTCTTTTGTGTGTGAAACACCAGATGATGAGTCAAAATTCACTTACCTGTTGGGAACCAACGAAGGACCAGAGAATTGGGGTAACCTTAAACCAGAATGGACACTATGTACTACGGGCAAATTTCAGTCTCCAGTTAATATCCGTAACAAAACTGTGACGGTTACCACTGCTCTCCAGCATTTGAAACCAAACTACAAAGTCGCACCTGCTATTATTATTAACAGAGGTCATGATATTAAGGTATATATATATATACACTGAGTCTGACCATGTAAAGTTTTCTTTTTATTTAATTTAATAGAGATTTGCCTGTAATTATACAGTTTCAGTGAATCCAACTATTAATTTTTGGCCTTTTTTTATTTTTTTTTGGTTTGCTCAAAAAAAAAAAAAAAAACTATTAATTTTTGGCAGTTGCAATGGGAAGGAGATGCAGGATATATCAATATTGATGGTACTGAGTATAAATTACAACAATGTCACTGGCATACTCCTTCTGAGCACAAACTTAATAATAAATGGTTTGTCTCATTATACTAGCTTATCAATTCCATTTGGTCTAACATAAGTATCATTTTAGTCAAATTCAAGATAAGAAGGCATTAATGATTTTTGTCCAAATCTACTCTGAATAATCCTTAATGAGAAAATATATAATTTTCTTAGTGAGTGTGCCAAAACCTTAAAAACTTTAGGACAATATTGATATTTGCAGCTTTGCAATGGAGGCGCACATGGTTCATCAGAGTGCTGATGGGAAAATAGCTGTGGTTGCAATACCTTTCAAAATTGGAAGCCCTAACCCTTTCTTTGAGGAGGTAATGATCCAAATCATTTAATTTGTATTAATTCTTCTAGCTATTCTTCCTTCTATTTCATATCCTAATTATACTATGTTGATGTTCTTTAAATTCATTTCACTATTACCACAACTTACATGAATAAGGAAAAGGTCAAGAAAAAATACTAGGAGTACGTAACAAATTATTAGACAAATCCTCTTCTAATTTTTTTTCTCTGTTTCTTTCTCCTTAGTTACCTTATTTTGCATGTAAACTTAACATTTTTTTCTCTTGTACCAGTTAATGCATCACATCGAGACAGTTGATGATAAGGGTCTGAAATTGGGATGGGTTGATCCTCAACAACTTGGGGTCGGCGATGAACCTTTCTATCGATACATTGGTTCACTCACTGTTCCTCCTTGCACTGAGGGTATCACTTGGAATGTACTCCCCAAGGTATCCATTTTTATTTTTTCATCTTCTCAAATGTTTTTATATTTGGAATGGTGCGTTTTAGGTCTAATTTCTATTAATTTTGCTGAATTATTCCTAACTGCATATTTATAATACATGAAATTCTAAATTAATTACTCCCTTAGTATCTTATTTCTTCTTTATTGGCTAATGTAGGCAAGGACTGTTTCTATGGAACAATTGATGGCATATAGAAGTGCTGTTCATGATGTAAGTATTACTTCTCATTTAATCGTCCTAACTTCAACAAATTTTATTCGACATCTATAAATCTTGAAAACTTTTCGTATATTACGGACTTGCCGTTTTCCATAAGGTTAGAAATAAAATGTGTTTGTTGATAATGTATTTACGGTTTAACTTATATAAACTGATAATGCAATTTTATTTTTTTTACGTATTTTAACATGTTACGACTTATATATATACCCTAATAGTGTACTTTAAAATGCAAAGCAATTATGAGTAAATCTCATTTAGGTTTTGATTTGTTAATTTTCTTTTATTTTTTTAAAAAAAAAATTATTTAAAAAACAGGGATTTGAGGCAAATGCAAGACCAGTTCAGAGCTTACATAAAAGACCAGTATATCTAGCTATATAAGTCCAAGAATGAATGACGCCAACTTCAGATTAGATTGTACTTACACGTGAATATGGAAACAAGAACAAACTGTGTCTGTGGTGGTCAAGTGTTGGAAATGACCTTTTGGAAAGAGATATTTGGAACCCAAAAAGTCATAGTTGAGGTCCACGTAAAGGAAATATACACTAGTCTTCACTTTCTTTTACGTGTATATCTTTAATTATGCATTATTGTGTAAATATTATTTACACAATTCATAGAATTATACTATGAATACCCTTCGATGACGTCTTGTTCAGCGAAATTGGAGACCATTAAATCTTAAAGGTGAATTTAGTAGCATTAAAATCGAACATCAATAAAGGCAAAATGGTTAGCATGATTAAATAGGTCCTGGATTTAGGTATTATTACAAAGTTGCCATTTCTCCATATTCGTAAAACGTAAAGCTTTAAGAAAAAACAGAGCTACCGCCGTACGATTTTGCGAAATTGTTACGCATTTAGGTGTGTTTGGTAAGAAGGAAAACATTTTCTGGAGAATAATTTATTACACTATCATTAGATAATACATTAAATTCAATTAATATATAGTGCATGTGTCCGCTAAATTATACTAGCCTAAATCACGCTTGCTATAGTACACGCTCCCTCCTTTTGTATTTTCATAAACAAACTAAGAACATCATTACTTCTCAATAGACAAATAACAGCATCATATTATCACAGCAAAACATTTAATTAGCACAGTTTGAAATTAATCAGGAATGAATATATCAATAGCTATAAAAATCTTCAGAGAAAAGGGGGCATTGATCCTCCAAATCTTGTGGAATGTCAGGAACAAATGGGGGATTAAGTTTAAGTATTTCTGCAGCATAGGCATCCAATTCTTTATGGTAAGAAGCAATATCATTATTGGGACAAACAAAGGCAATTTCTTGATCCTTCTGCACTTGCACTAACAACTTATCAAAAAAGGCCAATTCTTCTTCAGTTAAGGGCTTAAACGGTTCATTGAATGATGGCAATGCAGTATATGTGGTTTCTTCCGTAGAGACTAGAGGCAATGGAGCAGCATTTGATTCTTCTGTGAGTAAACTATCTAAGCTGATATGCTCGTCGTCCCCATTCCAAAAATTCCCCACACACACCCCACCCCACCCTCTCTCTCCAAAAAGGTTTTTTATTTTTAAATTTCAATTTATTTTTGGACACTACACACCCTGCTACCCCTCCCCGCAAAAAAATTATTTTTTTTACTTTTTTTTTATAATTTTAAATTTTTATTTTTCGTTTTTCTGCACCACTCTCCCCTCACCCGTCAAAACCCCACCCCACTACC